CCTAGGAGCTTCTGTCTCATTGAAAATTTGACAGAGAGGATAAGAACACCTGCAAGTAAAGTGGAATGTGCCCCTAGATCTGGGGAGAGGGTCATCCTCCCAGGCACATGGGAATATGTAGGCACCCAAACTCATTTGAGGGCTCTGCCAGCAAGGAAGGAGGTACCAGATGGCGGTTGGGTAGATAGCCAACACTGACTGCTTTTTTCTTTTGAAAATTGTCTTTTTCTCAGCATCCAAGAGTGTCCTATTCCTTATTTGTAACATGGGGGTTTTCTAAGACCAATGTTGTTTTGTTTCTGTTCACTTAACTCTAAAGGAGGCGGAGATACCACTCCAGGACGCATTTACATAAACCGAGCAGGCAGGAGCTCATTGTTGCCCTCGCTGTCTCGTTGGTTGGAATCCGTTCCTTGTGGCTGAAACAGGAGGCACGGGATGTTCACAGCCCCACCCCCCTATGGCCTGTCTGACATCATCCTTCCCTCCGATGTGGTGCTGTGTGTGTTGTGGGGGGGGGCGGAGGGGAGAGTGCATGCTCCCTCCACAGAGAGGAGGATGGAGGATTGATTTATATATTGGAAGGAATAGGTGAATCCTGAAGGCACCGTCCCCATGAGTGTTCCCATCACAGAGTCTTCCTGATACTGAATCTGCATTCAGGGCACAAAGGCCTTTACCCATCATCTGTTGTCGTTGCCACGTCGGAGACCCCCGAAAAGGGACTGAGGGGAGAAAGGGCTTGAAGATGCCAACCCCTCATATTTGGTTGTTAGGGGCTCTGATTCTGAGCCCCGGAAAGGACATAGGAAAAGAAAAACACTTTTTATCTATCCTTCAGGCCGCTGTTACTTCAAATAACAAAGTATATGAGTGTCAGTTGCCAATTATATCATGTCCATTTCAACTTCGTAAAACATCATACAGTGGGTGGCATTGTACTTACTATTAGTTTTACAAGTTCTACCCTTTGCATTTGGTCAGAGAAGTTCATTCATTCCATCTGCCATTACATTGAGTGAGAGCACAACACCTGTGGATATGAGGATAAAGAATGTAAAATACATCGGCAATAATTTTATACGGACTGTATGTTGAAATATTAATTTGCTGTATTGGGTTAAATAAAAATGTATTCTTGTTCCTTTTTAATTAATGTTGCTACGAGAAAATTTTCAGTTACACATGTGGCTTGCGCTATATTTCCACTGGACCCCTTTGCCCCACCATGTAGCTCCAGAAGGCTCTCATCTCCCTGTCTCTTTCTTCCTCTAGATCTGTGCGCCCCGACACAGTAGCCTCATGTGGAAATTTACCTTTAAATTAATTGAAATGAAACAAAATTTAAAATTCCGTCCCTCAGTCACATTAGCCATATTTCACGTGTGGTGAGGGGCTCCCATATCGCACAGCACGGGCCATTTCCAGCACCATGGAAAGGTCCACCGGACAGAGGTGAAGTAGGTCGTAGGTAGATATGGCCACACCCGCAGAGATGGGATGGTGAATGCCTAAAGCATGGAAGCGTTTCCATGGTGCCTAACTCTGCAGCACATCATCCTCCCATCCGTCTCCTAGACGCGGGTCCCTTCCCGCCTTTGTTAGGCTTGTTTACGCACTCTTATCTCTCCTTTCCTCCTGCTCCGGCTGCGGTGCACGTATCTCCCTCTGAGCACACCCCGCACCACCACCCCCATGTGAACACGGATCTAACACCGTGCTTTGTACAATGTCGGTATTCAGTAAATATTTGTTAACCAGTTGGAGTGGCAGTTCCTAGCAAGCAATTGGAAATATGTGGCTGAAGCTAGAGGGAGATATATAGTGGCTGGTAGCAGAGGGATAAGAGAGAGAGAGAGAGAGAGAGAGAGAGAGAGAGAGAGAGAGAGAGAGAGAGAGAGAGAAGGTCAAAGCCAGACTCCCAAGGAAGAAGAAGGAGGACCTGGTAGAGAGGCAGAAAGGAGGAATGGGGACGGTGGTGACCCGGGACCTCAGACATGTCACCAAAATCCCTTTGCCCGCCCCACCTGCCCTCACAGACAGTGACTGGAGTTACTGCAAGGGAATTCACAGTTTTAGGCAACAGCTGCAGAAAAGGGCAAAAGAAACCCAAAATATTATTATGTGATTGATAAACATGCAGGACCCATAAATGAGAAGTTGAGATGGCCTGAGAATTAAGGGTCTGGTGAGGAGAAAAATGAAAAATGCCCTCTCCCTGGGCCAGCTGGTCTGAGTTACATTTTACGCGCGCGTGTGAGTTCCAGCACCCTTTTGAATTAGCAGCAGAGTCGCACATTAGTTTTAAGGCTCCCTCTCGAATAGGAACATCATAACGCTTTTTAATTGGGGCTGATAAAAACGTAGCATTACTTGTAGGTTCCTGAGAGAAGTGAGTTGTGAAATTGGGTTTTCATTAAACCTAATGATGGAAAATTAAGTATAGTGCGGCGGGTGAAATGGGGTGTGATAAAAGGCACCACGTCTGCATTATCGGAGGTTAATAAGGGAATAGGTGAGGTCGGATGCATTGGAAAAAGAGTCCAACTAGTTGAATTAATAAACCTTGAAAATCCCTTGGTTCCGAGTCTTCATAGCATCATTAGCTCCAGCATTGACATTATTACAAATGTTATAGCAACACAAGTTGCTCAATTTCAAATGCATTTATTCTCCGTTGCAGCATTGGTTTTGCCGACACCAAGTTTACAGTCTGTCAAGCCATGTGTTTAGGGAAAATATTCATATTGGTAGCTCTTTGGTTTTGGAAACATTTGGCATCTCACAAAAATTGCCAGGTGCCCATTGCCAAGAAGCCTGTCTCTGCCAGGCAGCCGTTCTCCCAGGCAGCCTGTGCCTCAAGTCCTTGGGGAGACCATGGGTCTCTGAAGGCATCCGGGGATGGAGCTTAGGTAGGAGACACTCACCGGCTCCAGCTACGCCTCTCCTGGAAGCAGGGCAGGATCTAGAGGAGCAAGCTCAGGCACTCCTTGCTTCTCCACCCCCGACTCCCGCCCCCTCCCAGTCCATCACAGGAGTGATGCTCCCAAGATGCCGCATCTCCCTGGCAGCTACCGTGACAGCATGACCCCTACACGAAGTAGCGGGAGTCCTTAAAGAGGATTCCTCTTCAAACCCTCTGACAGCTTCCCACTGGCTTGGAGATGCTTGCACATTCACGGTGTTTCTAGACAGGCCCTCACACGGTCTCTCCCATCACATTTCCACCCAAAGCCATCACTCCCTGTCCACCTCCTTGCTCTTACCCAAAAGCACCTGGCTTCTCCGGCTCCTGTTCTTGTCTGTTTTCCTACTAGACCTTCAAGACTTGAGGGTGGAATCTGCATTGCTCTGTGCACGGCCAGTGCCAACCTGTGTTTCTGGCATAGAGTGGGTTCCCAGTACGTCTAACTCCCCATCACAGGGTGAGATGGATGGAGAAGAGAAGCAGCCCCCACGTTCACCAAGCACTACGCTTAAGCAATGCCAGTGAGGATGTGTTCCCTGTTATTTAAAATCCCCGGAGAAAACGTAATCGGTATTTTTATGTGCTAACTTCTCACCTAGACTCTTCTTCCTTGTGCAGAAAGCTGTAAACTAGATCTTTATGTTGGCAATTCTTTCCTTCCTGGGAACAGTGTTTCTCAGGCTGCCACACAGAAGGAGAGCTCACCTTCACGTGCAGAGTCAATGTCCGATGGGCTATTGTGACATGAGGCACAACCAAGCTAAAGGAAATGTGGTTTTTGAAATGTCAAGTTGCAGAAAATCAGGAATATATGTTAAGCCACCCAGGGAATGGGTATGGCATAGGCCTAGGGGGGTCCTGCCGGGGTGCCTGGCCGAGCCTGAACATACCTGGCTGAGATACATCAAATCTGACTCCTCATCTCATACATGCCACAGACAGAAGGTCCAGGGCATAGACTGTCCATGTCGTTGGGAAAAGGTTGGGCAGACCAACCCCAGAGGTTCTGGGGAAGATACACCAGCCTGGAAAGACCAGCAAGGAATGCCAAGGAGTGAGGGGGTAGGACTAGAAGGTGGTTGTCCAAGGGGAACAGAGAATCTCAAATCCGCAGTGAGGGGGTAGGACTAGAAGGTGGTTGTCCAAGGGGAACAGAGAATCTCAAATCCAACCTCAGCAGGCATCGGTTCCCAGGGTGGCCAAAGAACAGAGGACAGTTAGAGCAATGCAGTGGGTGTAAGGATTATTACCAGGGGGAAATAGAGATCGTTTATCAAGGAGGGATAATATGAAGGAGATAATGAGACTTAGGACCCAGGCCTGGGAGAGGTGAAGGGCAGAACTAAAGGAGGAGATTCAGGCCTCCCTACCTGCAAGGTGAGTTCCGTGATCCTCCTGGAGCAAGAGTGTTCAGTGGTGGGGAAGCTGGACAGGAAGCCAAAGGTGGTCACTGCTGTAGAGCCCACAGCTGGAGAGGGGCTCCAGTTCCTTCCTCCCAGGGTACCACCCAACAGAGACAAACTGGTGGAGACCCCGGGTCCCGGGGATGCAGGCAGGTGGATCCGAAGCACACACGCACGTGGCCCTGGTCTCCAGGACCCTGAGGCTTTGCAGGCAGGCACCTGCTTCCTAAACAGGAGGGCGCTCCCAGTACCTAGCCTGCCTGGCTTCTTGGTGGTTCTGATATTGGCCAGGATTGGCCAACACCACCCTGACGATCCTGAAGGCCTGGGATAGGGCGGCGATGGCAGCCAACCTGGACTTGGTCTTTACTCCATCGATATGTACCCTTGAGATGGAACGAACCAAGGGCTGTTGTGTTCACATGTTGGTTTGTTGATTTAATTTTTCAGTCTACCCCCACAGCCATGCCCAGGAAGCAATGTGTCTCTTTCCTTTCTCTGATTTCTTATTAGTTGAATCATGAGTTAGTTCCCTCTGGCCTCCTCAGGTCCCGCTAAGGAAGGCACAGAGGACCGAGGGCAAAACTCCCATAGGTGATGGTCTGTTCTGCCTCTTCTCTTTGAAGCAGATGGCAGCCGCGGAGAGCTGTCCCAGCCCACCCTCACCATCCAGACCCACCCCTACCGAGCCTGCGACCCCATGGAGATGAGCTATCCCCGGGACCAGTTCCAGCCGGCCATCCGCGTGGCTGATCTGTTGCAGCACATCACCCAGATGAAGAGAGGCCAGGGCTACGGGTTCAAGGAGGAATACGAGGTAAGGGACCGCCTGTGCAGACACTCCCAGATGGGTGCAGAAGCTTCTGGGGCTAAAGCTTTGCTACTAAAAGTTTAGTCTCTGGACCCGCAGCATCAGTGTCTCCGGGGAGCCAGTTGGAGATGCACCATCTCCGGCCCCACCCAGACTTACTGAATCACTTACCCGCTTTTAACAGAACTTGAGAGACTTGTATACCCTTTAAATTTGAGAAGCACCATCAAAGACCCTTAAACCTCCTTTCCCCCCTCCCTTTCCCCCCTCCCTTTCTCTCTCTCTCTCTCTCTCTCTCTCTCTCTCTCTCTCTCCTCTCTCTCTCTCTCTCTCTCTCTCTCTCCCTCTCTCTCTCTCTCTCCCTCCCTCTCTCTCTTCCTTTCATTGCTCAGATATCTCCAAAGTTTCTGCACTTTGGAGTCACAGCTTTGCTCAGTGTGCACCTCCAATGGCTCCAGCCCCCAGCCCACATGTTGTGGGAAGCCAGCAGGTCTCCCTGCCAGTGCATCTGGGAGGCTGGCTTGTTCCTGGGCACTTCTTGCCTCATTCCCACACTCCTGCTGTGTTCTCAGTGCCCCAAGTCAGTGCCTCATCTCCAGTGCCTCTGTCCCCTCTCTGTCCCTTCTCCTCACCTCTGCATCGGACACCCCTTTCCTTACTCCCAAAGCATCTCTAATCCTAGGGTTTTTTGAGTAGCGATTGCTACTGAGGTTTGGGTAGTAACTGGGCCAGGGGTGGTGGCTTGCAGCAAAGCACAGGAAGTGCCTGAATACAAGCAGTCCTACGGTTCTCATCTCCTCACAGGTCTCTCCACCCACTGCCTTTCCCAAAAGTTCTTTTTATTGTCCTCAAAACTCCCTTTTTTTCCCTTCTCCCAGCAGCCAGGAAAAGGCCTCCACACACCCTTTCCTTTCTGAGGCAGAACAATTTCTCTTTCTTCGTCTCACTCCTTTTGTTTCAAACCTTGCCTATTAGGCGGCCCCTTTTACAAATAAAAAAAGTGAAATAAACGAAGGGAAACTCATTAAGATGTTTTCCTGAACTAAAGAGCACCTCACTCTCCCAGAGAAGCCCCACAACCCTCCACCCCCAAGTCTGAATGCAGTCGCAGCCAGCTTTGGGAATTTCCTTTTTTCACTTTTCCTTTCCTCTCTCCCTCTCCTCCTTCCCAAAATATCTAGGGAGCACCTACTGTGTGCTAGGCTCTGAGTTGTATGAGCTGGTTTTTGTGGCTCTTTTTCCACACTCAGCATGTTCCCCCATTATACTCGGTTCAGTTTCATGTGTACGGTGAGAAGGCATGGACTCAGACTCTACCCAGTTGGAATTCTGGATCATGCAGACTAAGTTTATCTCTCAGACTATACTCTGAGAAGGAGCTCACCAAGCAATGAGTGCAGAAGCTCTGTGAGGCCATGAAACTGTGCTCCGAGGGGGTCCAGGCAGCTGGGCTCCGACGCAGCACACTGTGCCATCTTAGCGTCTCATCTGTCACCTGAGCATTGAAATTCCTCTGTTGGTTGAGTGAGAAGTTTGGATAAGGTGACTTCTAAGGGCCTGTCTGGTCCTAAACCTTTATGAGAGTGTAAAATGTGGTGGCAAGGGGCATGCTTGACACATTTATGAGAGCAGACGCGTTTGTGTCGATGCACGTGAGTGATTACCGACCCGCTCAGGAGAACCGGCAGTTCATTGCAAATGTGGTCAAAGGAAAACAGCATTTTTCATATGCTGCCTGCAAATTTTTGGAGGATGTCAGGATCAGAGTTAAAGGCCCTCCCATGCCTGGGCCTTACCTCCTAGCGGGTTGGCTGAATGGTTCCAAGCCCTTAAAGCAGCAGTTCTCAACCTGTGGGTCGCGACCCCTTTGGGGGTCGAATGACCCTTTCATAGGGGTCGCCTAAGACCATCGGAAAACACATATATAATTACATATTGTTTTTGTGATTACTCACTATGCTTTAGTTATGTTCAATTTGTAACAATGAAAATACATCCTGCATATCAGATATTTATATTGCAATTCATAACAGTAGCAAAATTATAGTTATGAAGTAGCAACAAAAATAATTTTATGGGGATCACCAAAACATGAGGAAGTGTATTAAAGGGTCATGGCATTAGGAAGGTTGGGAACCACTGCCTTAAAGTATGAGGGATGATGTGTGTGCATGTGTGTCTGTGCGTGTGTGTGTCTGTGTGCTTATCCACACCTACATAGATCCGTTTGTTAAGCAAATGTTCGGGAAAAGGTGTGTTGTTTGCAAAGGCATATTCAATATCATGGTAGTTTACTATGTTAGTCATAATATGTACTTTGCTTTAAAGTTTTAAATAACACTAGGGGAGCGTTGTGACATCAAAAAGGGTGACAAGTAGTCAAAGCCTGAGAAACACGGTTGTAAGAACTTGGGATCTAAAGTTTGAAAACGAAAACACTTGACTACTTTGGTGCATTGCCTTCCAGATTGATATCTCTTTTAAAAGTGTCCATCCCTGTGTGGTTGATGTCAAAAAAAATTTTTTTTTTTGCCTTTTTGCACTTTTTAAACATCTATATATGTAAAAGGCTAAGTAATCATTTGACTGTTCAACTGGTAGCTATCACACACACTGACCACCAGGGGGCAGATGCTCAATGCACAGGCATGGAAACATGGAACAGACTAATGAATCTCAGAGGGAAGTGGGGAGAGGGAGGGCGGGAAGAGATTAACCAAAGATATTTTTTTTTTTTTTTTTTTTTTTTTTTTTTTTTATTGCTTAAAGTATTACAAAGGGTATTACATATGTGTCCATTTTATCCCCCCGCCCTAGACAATCCCCTAGTAACCAAAGATCTTATATGCAAACTAGAGGCCTGGTGCACAGATTCGTGCACCAGTGGGGGTCCCTCGGCCTGGCCTGCAGGGATCGGGCTGAAACCAGCAGTCCAACATCCCCCGAGGGGTCCCGGATTGCCAGAGGGCACAGGCCAGGTCGAGGGATCCCACCAGTGCATGAATCCATGCACCGGGCCTCTAGTTTTCAAATAAACAACAGAAAATATTTCTCACAGGTTCTAGAGGCAGGGAAGTCCAAGATCAAGGTGTCAGCAGGTTCAGTGTCTGGTGGGAGCCCACTTTCTGGTTCATAAATGCCCATCTTCTCACTGTGCCCTCACATGGTGGAAGGGGTGAGGGATCTCTGTGGATCGCTTTTATGAGGGCACCAATCCCATTCATGAGGGCTCCACCCTCATGACCTATACACCTCCCAAAGACCTCCCTTCCTAATACCATCACATTGTGGATTAAGTTTCAATGCCTGACTTTGGGGGACACACCTCACAGACAAATATTCAGATGACAGCACTCTTCCATAACCATAACACAGTGATAAAAGTGAGGCAACTTAACACTGATACAATGTCTGTTTGTTTGTGCATTTGTTTTTCCCAAACTTTCTGGCATGGAAGTAAACTGCCTTTATAATGAAAAAGAAAATAATACATGTTGTTCCATCATTTGGAAATATCACTAACTAGACTAGCCTTGACCTCAATTAGTTCCAAATTATATTAACCAGTTAGCTGGAATGCTTAGCTTCTAGTTAACAGCACTTTTCAATTAACTGGAGGTTAATTGAAAAACATTACTTAATGGGAGTCTTTCCACAGTGTGCCAGTTCCCCCTCCTAGACCGTCGCTGGGAATGGCTTTGATCATCAGGCCCCTGTGATGCCCAGAGTCTACATGCTGCGCAGGAGTCACAGCACTGCTTGAAGACTGTGTTCTAAAGACAAGATGCCTAGGTCTCAATCCCACTTTCAAACAGCATGCTATGCGCTCTGTTTACTGCCTGTCACTCCCCTACACTGCTCAGTGTGTTGTTGGTTTTTCTTACCAACGCGTGGGTTTGACAAGTTGACATAGAAGGGACCTCTCAGCAATAAGGAAGCCGTGTCTTCTAAAATTCAGTTCAGTTGTACAATCACAAATTTATTCATTAAATTTTTACTGAGTATTTACTATTCCCAAGGACTGGTCCAGATATTTTAGATATGACAGTGGACAAAACAGACAAAGATCCATGCCCTCACGAAGCTTCTGTTCTACCAGGGGAAACAGGAAATAGCAGTAGACTTAAAACTAAGTTATTTTACAGTCACTTAATGGGATATGTTAGTAAATAATGCCATGTGCTAGTGACAAATACTGTTTACTATGTTATAAACTATCCTAAATATGAGTGACATAAAACAACTAATTTATTGTGCCCACTGATTCTGTGAGTCAGGAATTTGGACAGGGCACAGGGGGAATAGTTGTTTCTGCTTCATGATGTCTAAAGCCTGGACTTGGAAGGCTCTAAGGCTGGGGGGCTGGAAGCATCTGCAAGAGTCTTCACTTCATGTCTAGTGATTGATGCAAACTGCCAGATGGGATCTCAGCTGGGATTGTCAGCTAGAGCACCTACACATGGCCTCTTCAGGTGGACTGGGCTTCCTCACACCGTGGTTGCCTCAGGATAGTGGACTTCTTACAAGGCACCTCATAGATCCAAAGTGAGCTTCATAGCTAACAAGGTAGAAAGTAAGTGACCTAGACTTGGACATCACAGCATCACTACTACAACATGCTATTGGTTATAAGCAAGTAATAACTGTATATGTTCTAGGGAAGGGGAAGTAGTGTCTTTCTCTCTCTCTCTCTCTCTCTCTCTCTCTCTCTCTCTCTCTCTCTCTCTCTCTTTCTCTCTCTCTCCAAGGATAGATGGAGGAGCTGTTGCAAGATTCTAAGAGAGAATGCAGAACTTGGAGGTATTGGAAAATACAATCTTTGGATGATACAATATACCATAGATGGGGGGAAAGAATAGAGCAAGGACGGGAGATGGGGTATCCTGGGGACATGGAGTGAAGGAGGGGGTTCCAGTATTAAATAGGGGAGAAGGGTAGTCCTTAATCAGAAGACGGCATTTGAGTAGAGTCATGATGGAAGAGAGTTCCAGATCAAGGAAGTAATA